TAGGTAGATCGAAACAAGTAGGTAGATCGAAACAAGTAGGTGGATCGAAACAAGTAGGTAAGATCGAAACAAGTAGATAAGGTCGAAACAAGTAGATAAGGTCGATCAAGTAGATAAGGTCGAAACATGTAGATAAGGTCGAAACAAGTAGATAAGGTCGAAACAAGTAGATAAGGTCGAAACAAGTAGATAAGATCGAAACAAGTAGATAAGGTCGAAACAAGTAGATAAGGTCGAAACAAGTAGATAAGGTCGAAACAAGTAGATAAGGTCGAAACAAGTAGATAAGGTCGAAACATGTAGATAAGGTCGAAACAAGTAGATAAGGTCGAAACAAGTAGATAAGGTCGAAACAAGTAGATAAGATCGAAACAAGTAGATAAGGTCGAAACAAGTAGATAAGGTCGAAACAAGTAGATAAGATCGAAACAAGTAGATAAGGTCGAAACAAGTAGATAAGGTCGAAACAAGTAGATAAGGTCGAAACAAGTAGATAAGGTCGAAACAAGTAGATAAGGTCGAAACATATAGATAAGGTCGAAACAATTAGATAAGGTCGAAACAAGTAGATTAGGTCGAAACAAGTAGATAAGATCGAAACAAGTAGATAAGGTCAAAACAAGTAGATAAGATCGAAACATGTAGATAAGGTCGAAACAAGTAGATAAGGACGAAACAAGTAGATAAGATCGAAACATGTAGATAAGGTCGAAACAAGTAGATAAGATCGAAACAAGTAGATAAGGTCGAAACAAGTAGATAAGGTCGAAACAAGTAGATAAGGTCGAAACAAGTAGATAAGGTCGAAACAAGTAGATAAGATCGAAACAAGTAGATAATATCGAAACAAGTAGATAAGATCGAAACAAGTAGATAAGATCGAAACAAGTAGATAAGGTCGAAACAAGTAGATAAGGTCGAAAAAAAGTAGATAAGATCGAAACAAGTAGATAAGATCGAAACAAGTAGATAAGATCGAAACAAGTAGATAAGATCGAAACAAGTAGATAAGATCGAAACAAGTAGATAAGATCGAAACAAGTAGATAAGATCGAAACAAGTAGATAAG